CTTTGTAGAGATCAATTCCCCCCCCCCCCCCCCGAATGGGGCTACTGAAGAGTCTTGCTTAAGTAGTTTCAGGAATAGGGGACAAATTTTCTGTGAGCTGAAAAGAACCTTCAAAAGCCAAGTATTTCTGGAGGTATACATGCACGAGATGACTAAAAAGTACAGATTAATAGCAAACCTCCAATAGTAAAAGGTTGCTCCAAGACTGCGCCTCCAAGAGGGATTCCATAGATCTTTCCTCCTTCATATTTGTCCCAACCACCAACAATCAGTCCTGTCTGGAGCCTATCCTGGACATACAGAGAGCAATGGATCAAATAAGTATAAAAAGGTACATCATAAATTAACCTAGGTAGTGTATTAGTTATGATGTAACTGGCTAGTGATTCCTCTCTACCTCACACGAGGTAGGTGTAAGGTATGCATACACCCCACCCTCCCCAGATCCACTTGTGGAATCCACAGGTATGTTGTTGTTAGTATGTGTTGAAAATATAATTAAATAATAAAAGTGTGCTCTTTCTAATTTTCTAATTCTCAACAGTATGTAACCTAGTGGTCAATGAAGTGGGTATAAACCTTTGCGACCATGTTGAAATCCTAATTACGATAAGAAAGCACTAGGTGATTTCTTCCCATCTGCCTATGCCAAGCCTTGGCAGGCAAAGTTACCCAGTAACTGTGTTGGTGGGAGATAGTAGGTTCCAGATGAACAGTCGAGGTGCACGCAAGCTAGTCCAGCCACCATCTTTATCAAGTAAATATTACATTTGACGTATTTTTGTCATAAAAAAAAAAGATCCGTTTTTTTACGGACAGTTAAAAATTCTGGAATACACTTGGTGGGGATCTATAGAACAGCACATGAAAACAGAGTGCAAAAAAAGACAAGTTCACCCAAAATTCCAAGCAATTATTTACATAATAACAGCATAGTAGCAATGGTAAGCTTGTGAACAAGAGTTGTAAAAGCTATTGTTTAAACCTTTTGGGCTAATTAATTTAAATACCAAATGGGTATTTATGCACTACTTCATTTGGCATAAATATATCCATGAGAGGGAAAAAGAAAATGCATGTGTGGTGAAACTGCATACATTTCTATAAATATTATAGTGGCACAATTATGAGGAAATAATTCATAATGATTAAACGGTTTAAGTTCACTAAAGAAAAACACAAAAGTAAAAGTGATGTTATAAGTCTGGAGAAAACATATATAATGAGATCAACTCAAAATTAACCATAATTTCCTGAGTTAGATATGAAGACTTTCGCTTCTAAAGCTTTCCATCTCTGTTTAGAACATAATCACAGTTCGATATTCAAATCAATACTAAGTGTCAGGGTTAAATTGATTTTACAAAAAGTGCAGCTAAGACCAGCCAAATTTTTACTACTATCAGATGGGTAAGAGATTGCTGGTAATAAAGGAAAATGTCCAACTAGACGGTGAAAGGCTGACATCATATTTTATTGAACCATCAAAGATGCGCACGAAATATGGCACAAAATTACTTGAACACAATTACCAGTTATCACTATTTGTTGAGACTCATGAGTACACAACCCTGATCTATTCACATTACAGAGGACTTAAAGAGATAGACAATTTTCAAGCAATAATGCAAAGATATTTACATTACAAGTAAAAGAGGAAAAATCAAGTGACGAATAGCTAATAAAAATTTATATTAATGGGGGAGACTAAGAAAGAGTATAATGGTTACAGAGCAAACCTTGTTGTTGTAGGATAATAACCTTGCAAGGTTCGCAGCAACCTTGACAGTAGCTGGCTGGCCCAGCTGTATCCTGCATTCACAAGAAGACCCAAGATTAGAAGTTCCTAAAAATAACTCTGCATACTGAGTTGGATTATCTAGAAAAAAAACTTTGCATACTAAGCCGGCAAACAATACTGCTACACTATAAATTTACTTCCTTCGAAAAGTAGATACACAAACAAGAGAGCCAATTCATGTCCCTAGTTATAGAAGATGTGATTCAAACATCAATAAAATATACACAAAAAGAGAGAACCAATTTTACAATAAAGAAGATAGCTATGAAGAAGCTAACAATTATTATTGCGGCTTATAACCAGGCCAAAAGAAAAGAACAGCAGATACCATTAAAAGAAGTTTTGGGCGGAGGGGTTGTGGGGTTTGCAAGTTGTAAAAGGTGTGACCATAATAAGCACTTCAATAATTAAAAGATAAGAACAAATTCTAATCAAGGGAAGAAGCTTACGTGTGTTGGTGCAGGAAGTAGCGAACATAGTCTGAAATAATTTGGGAGTCTGCTGCCTGCAAAAGCGAACATTGTATATAAGTCATAAAGAATTCCACTTTCTAGGATTTATTTTCAATCATCAAGGAACTTGTACTTCTCAGTACCTTATGACTGTCCAAATTTTTCTCTAAACCATCAAGTTCAAACAACAAGTTTTATTTCACGTGTAATTATGCACGTGAAGCTAATATTGTTGGTAATGGAGTTCTATCTCAACCAAAATGGTAATTGTGGACAAAGGATTAGAAACTTTGGTCCATAGGTGAGCACAGTCTTATGCTTGATTCATTAGAGTAGGCAGATGTGAAGTGTGCTAATTAGAGCATCAACAACACTTCTGGGTGTGGCCAACACAATGGATAGACATGAAATAGTTCAATGCTTTAGTGTCATCAACAACAACATACCCAGTGAAATACCACGAAGTGGGGACTAAAGTAAATGCACCAGTCCGGAATTGCAGCTCAAAAGCTTGTGGGGACTTAGCTACTGATGATAGATAGTGTAAAGAGGATAGGACAGTGGATTATTTAAGAGTGGGAATGGGACAAGGTTGAGGAATGCCGTCCCAATGATATGAAGGGGGTTAAGGCCGAAAATAACTCTAGGTAAGACTTTTTTACATGGAGCTACTAGAAAAAGGCATAAGAAGGTAACAAGAAAAGAGTGACTTTTTACAATTAGTGGTAGGACGAGATTCAGTTTTTAGTGGCGAAAAATCTTAGGAAAAGAAAAATTGTTATGAATTGCATATGTAAGAAGTACAGGGATGACAAAAACTACCTCAAGTTGTATTATAGCTTTACCTCACAGATATGGACTGTGGTTTTGCTATGTCCAACATTCCATGGGTTTCACTAAGACTGTGGATGAAGCAATTCAAGTTGGAGACTAGAAAAGACAGGCAAAGAGTCGACGGTAGCCTGGAGAACATCACTGTTGTGTCTCTTTTGGCTTATTTGGATTGAAGAAACATGGATTATTGTAGAATACTAAAACAACGTTAAAGTATTAAAATACGTTTTGTTTCATTTGTACTATTGGTGTAAAGAGAGGATTCACACTTGTATTTCATAGATCGGATGACTTGTTAAATGATGGTGGTTGAGTCACTGAGCGACCAGTGGCGAGTCAAGATGTACACTGAGAGGGTTAAAAATATGATAAGTGAATACATGATGAAGCCCAAGGAGGTTCAAATATTTTCTCCTTGTTAGTAGTTCCTTGTCAAATAAAAAGGGAAAAAACAAAAATGTATTTCACCAGAATTAACAAAAGGAACCACAAACCAAGCATGATTACACATTTAACTCATAGACCGTCCAAATGTACAACAACAACAACAACAACATACCCAGTGAAATTCCACTAAGTGAGGTCTGGGGAGGGTAGTGGGGAGGGTAGAGTGTAACGCAGACCTTACCACTACCTATGGAGGTAGATAGTTTGTTTCCAAAGACCGTCCAAATGTACAGTTGCATAAAACATAACTTCGTGAATCAGCTCTATTCTGCTTATTCTAATTAAAGTACAATTACATGATAAACAAAATTCATGTTACCATGGTCTATTAGCTCAATAAGAATGCCAGGTAACTGTTACTTAACGAGATATTAGTGCCAAATTTAACCCTTTACCACAAAGCCCAAATTTTTTAAACCAAATAACAAGATATCAATATGGCATTTAGAGAAATCATACTGATCCAGAGCGGCAAACGTAGACATTATCAGTGAGCTGAGTGATCTTATCAGAAGCCCTATTCGCAACATACATTCCTGAAAAGAAAAAACACAAATTAATTTTAAAAAATCTGAAAAATGATGAATGAGTGAGGGAAGGGATGAGATTTGAGTTACCGGTGCTGGTGCGAGAGTCAGCAGCAAGTACAACGCCGCCATTGTAAGTAACACCGATTATGGTGGTGCCCATGGAGTGGGGCTGGTTAACATCGACCGAAGCATTTTCCATCTTCCACAAAATCGATCAAACTGGCAAAGCGCTACAAGTAAATTGAAGAAATGATGAAAATACTAATTGGAATTGGCTTATACTATTACGTGAAGAGGAAGAAATACTTGGTAGCTCCCAATTACTGGATCACTACCCAAAAGAAGTCGACAAATTAGCCTCTTATTTTTGGAACTTCACTCAAAACGGTCCCTAATATTTAAGGGGCATTTTCGATCCATAACATCAAATTTTATATTAAAATAATATCAGTACTATGTTAGTATTAATTATTTCGATAATTTTTATTATTTTTTTATCAATCAATACGCTAGTTATATTAATGCATAAGAAGGTTTAAAGAGTTAAAAAGATGTCATAGCATCAATTATAATTCCTTTAGAAAAATTAGAAAGCCAAACAATTTTATGTAATGACGAAATAAAAACTTTGCTAAATTATATGCTACTACAAGTTTTCAAATGTCTTCACAAGTGTTTGTCTCCTATGCTTCTTTATAGTGCCATATGCATCACATTTTTTGCATTTAATAAGACTTGCACCTTTGCCCAACCCTTTTCCTTGCATTATCCAGAGCTATATAAATTGTGATTGCTTCAATAGTGATGATTTTTCTCAACATATTGAATTGGGGTGCCAAAGGCTTGAAGCGAATTACCATAGCTATTCATAGCCACCACACACCAATATTTGTAGTCTTCTTCTTCTTATGTACACTAGCATCTACAAACAAAATAATATAATCTTGTGTCACAATTATATTTCTATCATTATTACAAGCAAATATAATTGTAGAAAAAAGTATAGGAATCAAACCGTTTTCATATTCATGAAAATCAAAAAGAGTTTTGTTTACAATATCATTGGATTCAAAAATTTCTCCATTGAAACTCTTCGAATTTCTTGCCTTCCAAATTTACCACATGATAGAAATTCTCATTCTAATTCAGCACAATGTGCAGTCTTGTTTGTCTTTCCTTATGATAATCAACGCTTAAAGGTTCGTTTATATCATCATATTTCAAATCATTATCAATTACACAAGCAGTCCCCTGAACTGTGTCATTGATATTCTACTTAGCAAAGTTATCTTCCTCCACAAAAGGTTTTTTTTTTTTTACTTTATTAAAGAAATGATGTGATGTGAAGAAAGGAGAATTTCTTTGTTTCCGTTGTCCTTTTTGTGTCCACTCCATTATGATTCAATAGTAAAACATTTGATCCAGTACCTTCAACACAATTCACAATCTGCATGCCTTTACCACTCGTGAGGCTAGGGGAGCACAATTTTGATTATATTGTCGTCTTGGATTGGTGCCCAACAAATTTGTGATTTTCAGCCCTCATCCATATGTTAAACTGGTTTCTCTTAACATTATCTTTTTGTACATCTCCCTCACGGAGAAGCATGATCTTTTTGTATGTATTCCACAATAATAGCAAACATATATATGACAGATTTTTTTAACGAAATTTTATCCATTTTTCCTCTAAGCATGTCTTTATTAATTTTATACTCATTAAGACCTTTAGACGTATGTGTCCACCATCCTCGCTTCCATTTTTCGGTATAGCGACATCAAATATTCCCCCGCAAGCATGTCCAAACTAATTGCCTACTTCATAAGATATCCAATGTAGTGGTATGTTCCAGACTTGGAGTCATATTTCAGATATGTTAAATATATGAGAGTTAGTATGGAGTTCTGGTTGTCATTGATATATATGTAATATGTTGAGCAGATATTTATCATAGAGTCATGCTATTTTTCTTCATGTCGTCCTTGAATCAGAAAACAAACTGAAATAGATTCTTACCTATAAATAATACTTTCAGACCAACTAAAGTCATTGTATTTTTCATCCTTAGCACACCAATCCGCAATCACCTTTTCGAGCATACTTACTTTACAATTTTTCATACTAGACATGAACATAAATCTCAATTGAATCATGTTCCTCCTCCGTAAGAATAACTTGTGAAGTCGATTCGTAATCTCGTCAGCATCCTAAGAACAATAGCCAAATAAGTTGAATGTCTTTAAGTTGAACTTTGAAAAATATAGATTTGTATAAGAATTGTGAAGCAGCAAAACAAAAAACAATGTTGAAATACGCTAAAAGGATTAAACTTAGTAGTTTAGTGTTTTTTTGTGAATGAAAAATTGAGGAACGTGGGTAATATTATGGACAACGTGGTTAGTTATCTTAATAGTCGGAGGTTATATTCATATCTTATGCCCCCCATAATAAGGAGAAACTACTCTCACGTAGAGAGAAAAAAATCTTTAGGGTCTGTTTGGAAAGCGACCTGGTAATTGGAATTGGTGTAATTACTAGGGTAGTAATTACTAGCCTAGTAATTACACAGTCTAGTAATTACATTGACCTGTTTGGTTGTCACAGTGTAATTACAGTGTAATTTCCTTTGTCCCTGTTTGGTTGGACGAATGTAATTACACAGTTAAATTTTAAAATAGATCAGATTTTGAATAAATAATATTACTATGTATAACTGATTGTTAGAATCGATTTTTTAATTTATTATTATTTTTATTATTATTATCAGAAATTAAAGAAAAAAAATTAATTCTCATATTTATTTTAATCTCAAAACTAACAGGAGAAAATATAAAAAATAAAATTCATACATAATCTACCTAGACATCAAAATATGAAAGTAAAATGAATCAAGAAATAAATCTTACTTGAAAGAAGAAGTACATGGCTTGTTGTTGTGCTGCCGTTCTTAGAAATGGAAATGTGCAGACAAAAAAGGAAGAAGTGTCTTTTCCAAACAAAAATATATTAAAAAAATATAATATTAAAAAATTCATGTAATTACATAGTGTAATTACACTCAATTCCTTACTCTCCCTTGGGAATTGAGGAGTGTAATTACTCCCCTTCAATTACAACCCAATTCCCCTTTTACCAAGTAATTACTTGGTCTACCAAACAGGACAAAGAGAGTAATTACACCAATTCCCAATTCCATTGTGGCCTTTCAAACATGCCCTTAGTTTTTACGAGGGACTCACAAACCATCTCCAATTCTCTACACTAAAAAGGAATATTCTCTTTATATTTTTCTCCCTTTTTAATATATTATTATTATTATTATTTATTTATTTATTATATATATATTTTTTAAAATTAATAGAGTATAAATAATAAAAAATAACCGAAAAGAGATTTGGTGTGATGAATAGTGTTACATAAAATTTGATGTAACACTATTCACCACTAAAATAGTGTAAGAATATTAGAGCACTAAAACACCAAAAGTTACGCCAAAATAGAATTTAGTGTAAAATTTGATGTTGCGTTGGAGATGTCTAAGAATAGGGATGGCAACGAGGGCAGGGCGGGGTGGGGCAGGGTAAATTCTTAACGGGGCGGGGCAGGGGAAAACTGAAACGGGGCGGGTAGGGCAGGGCGGGGCAAAATATTTTTTCATTAAATCTAGATGGGGCAGGATGTGGGTTTTTTTTCCCTCAAAATAGTAGGCTAATCACACAAGCGCACAAATCTTTTTTGCATTCTAATTGATTCTTGTGGATCTGTTTAATTGATTTAGTTGACTTTTTATCTTCCTAAATCGGTAAAGTTTGATTTTAACTCTTAATTTTTTTGATAAACTTGTTGAGCAATGAGCATGGATACATCTAGTTATTAATTTTCAGTTCTAAATTTTGAGTTGCACTCTTCGTCCACGTAATTGTTCTAGTTATTTTTTTTAAATTTTGTTTCAGTTCTTTAAGGCATATGCTATTGATGCAGTGATGACATTGGCATGTTTTATTTAATTTAAATTGGTAAATATTATATTTCACTTAAGTAATGTGAGGTTAAATAGGACAGTGCGGGGCTAAATGGGGCAAGGTATGGCTTGATCTAAATAGGGCAGTGACTTAAACGAGGCAGGGTAAGGTAGGGCAAAATTTTATAGGGGAACTCTTAACCCGCCCCAACCCTCCCTAATCCGCCCCATGGTCATCCTTATCTAAGATGTAAGCATTGACACTCCTTCCAAAATTTTCAACACCATTTCAAGAAACAAATAGGAGTAGTTTGGTAGCGTGTTATAGTTGTGTGGGTATTAGTAATGTATAAATTAATTATGAGTGAATATATGTATTATTTTATGTTTGTGTTAGTTATATAGTGGTTAGCTATTTTATCCTCTGTTTTGCATAGAATAATAGTACATAGATTTCATTATAACTTATAATTCATATATTTGTTATGTGGGTTTCTTAATTGCAAATCTTACATGAATAATTTACCTCTTAATCAACTATCGAATATAATATTACTTATGCAGGATCTAATACTTGCATTACTCATATTTAACCGAGCTACTAAATGATCCCATTAAGGGTCGTTTGGTAGTTGGTAATTAGAGTTATTCATGTATTAGTAATGCATGATTTAGTTGAGTGAGTCTATATGTTATTTTATGCAAGTAGTTGTTATGTATGAATTAGTTATTCATGTATTAGTTATTGTACCTTCTATCTTGCATGCATAAAATAATGCATACATTTATTCATAACTTATACATGTACTAGTTATGCGAATTTCTAAATTGTCAACCAAATGTCATATTAATTATATACATGAATAACTTATTTTCTATCGATCTATCAAATGTTATGTAAATTATATGAAAATTAATACATGAAAGGTGCGTTGGGTAGAACAATTATATTGATTTTCTTAAATTGGAATAATAACATATTTATGTAGGTGAAATGTATGCGCTACGTAAGATAATAAGGTTAGAAACATTAAAATTATAAAAGAATTGTCTAATTAGACATACGTCCATACTATATCTATTAATCTTATCTATACTTTCAAATAATTACCTATCATCCTACTATTTAATAATTATGTACCATATTTGAAATGAGATACATTAAGGAACACCACTCCTTAAAATTAACCTAAAATAGAGTCCTTATATATCCATCACTTAATTATCTCCCTAATTTATGTGTTAACTTCAAATCAGTCCACCCTCTCTTCATTCTCATCTCCCACATTCATCACTCAAATTTCTTTACCCCTTCTCTCCCACACAATCATCTTCAGCTAGAATGGAAAATGGAGCACTATAAATTAAATTGTTGAAGTTTGTAACTGATTTAACATTATTTAAGTTAT